TACTATTAAAGCAGAGAACCGACATGCTTCCATCTTCCAAACCTTATTGCCCTATTCTGTTACCAATAGATCTCAGAAAGTTAACTGGTTACAAGTCATGATCAGAAATGTTATGATACAGTTTTTTGTCCTCTACGCCTCTTCTTAACTATACCCCTAGTCCTGACTCTCTCTCAGGTCTTCATCCTTAGCATCCTGGCCTCTGCCATGATCCACGAAGCGTCACATAGATCTATTAGGATGACTCAGTGCCCAAAGACACCCTACTCTTCAAACTAGCCTCCTGCCTGAAGGTGTTCAGCTTTACTCGTTCTACGGCCTCCTGGTCTCAGTGCTGCAGCCTCTGGTGCCTCGGCTGTTACCCTTTTCTGTACAAGGATCTTGGATGTGCTCTATCTACTTCTCACGTTTCTTTCTTGTTCGCTGTGAGACCCTCTTTTCATGCTTCTGAGATTACTCACTTTATACTCAGAAGGACAAACTATCCAATCCCCACCATAGATCCCTTATACCTTATTTGTGTGTTCCCACCTACTCATTTGGTAGGAGATATAAGAATATAAGAGCCATACCAAGTAATTCAAATGTACGCCTGGTAGGTTTCCCTGTGGTTTGACCAGAGGGCCTGTCTCATGGTCACAGGTTCTCTACTTCTCTAAGCAAAATGTCCTCCATTAGTCAATAATCTTTCCTTAAAATATGTTAGCAAGTCAAACAATGTCCTGCTCTGGTCCACCAGGTTTCATTGGCTACTTTTTTTAAGTAGATCTTCAGGTTTTTCGTTCTTTTTTGTCTTAGTTTGGGAGTTCCATTGAAATCTTTGCACTAGGAATGACCCTGCTGGTATTTGAAACACTGCTGATATAGATTCAGCATCACAGTAGCACACAGAATATCACATAAACATAAATATCACAGACAGACAGGTGGTGGATCATTATACATAGGAGGGAAAACACAGGAACAAACTTAGAGAGAGGATTCTATGCGCTTCTTCCCCTGGGAACAAGAATCATATCTCTCTAATGCAGTAAATAAAAGAGCATTTACTGCAATATTCAATAAGCTTTACAATCTGAAATGGAAAAAAAGTCAATTTTGTTCTTTATCTACCACAGGCCTATTAGTGCAAATTAAATTTCAAGGTAACAGCTATCAGATGAAAGCACATAACTTCCACAGAGTATAATAAAAGGGCTACTTAGAGTGTGTGACTAGCATAGAAGCTCTTTCAGTATGTGATGTTCTGTTTAAAATTCGCTCTACTTAAAAGAATGCAATGTATTTTTATTTAAAATGAACATATTTTGGAATATTACTTTATTGAACTTTTGACAAGCGTTTACATGGAAATTTATGTTCCTATTTGACAATCCCGACACAGGTTACTTGCATTTATCACAATGACTCAGTATTCTCATGTGGTGCTTGTCCCTTTCAGTAGTCTAGTTTCCCTTCTAGTTTAGCTTCTATTTAATATTGAGTACTTGTTCACTTTTTGGTTTCTTACATATGGTTTGTAGGAATATAAATAATATTATGGGTAGAAAAATAAAATTTAAGAACAACAATAACAACAAAAATTACCCTAATCTCGTCATGAAGTCAATTCTGACTCATAATGGCCTCTTCTTCTCTCATGGAGAAGCTGGTGAGTTTGAGAACCCAAGTCGAATGCATCCCCAGCGACACCATCAGGGTTCCTGGTGGTGTGGGTAATATTATATTTTATTGTGTGTACCTATCTGGTATTTTGATGAATGGTGATCTAGGGAGAGACTTGGTTATAATCTCAAAAGTATATCAGCCCAACAGTGTCAAAGAGTCCTCTGTTTACTGTCCCATCTTGGCAGCTGTGTTAGAAAGGGTTCTCTAGAGAGATAAAACCAGATTGCTAATAATTTTATATATATTTATAAAGATAGATATATATATAGCATGAGAAATGAACTGTAAATTATAAACAGATAGATATATAACACAAGTAATGAACTGTTAAATTATAAAGAGATAGATATATAATACAAGAAAGGAACAGTTAAATTATAAAGCAGTACAAATGGCTCAGTGCAACTCACTCCCGTGAGAGAGTTGTGAGACACTAGCTGTCCTTCAAGTCTTGAGGGCCATCTGGTAGTCCTCTGTATAGAGCTAGGCTATCCCCGCACAGTCAGCAAAACAGCCAGGCAGGTCACCAACTGTCAGCCAGGTCACCAACTGTCAGTCCTAAGCTCCAGAGATATAAGTTTCCACCATGTGGTCTTAAAGGGACCTCAACTTATAGCGACACAGTCCAAAGTCTAGATGTCCCACAGGTACTGTAGCCTGTCAATTGAGGCACAGAACAAGCAAGGCAGCTGCACACTGATCTGATGATCAAAGAGTGAGAGACAAGAAAGGCCAGGCTCACTGAGCCATTTATCTCTCCGTCCTTCAATTAATCCTACTTGTGTTTATCGGCCAGGCTGGTACAATAAACTAACTATCTCAGCAGCCATTATTTAAAATAAGAAATTAGGTTCTGCTCCCAAGGTTTGTCCCATTCTGTCAAGGAACAATGACCCTAGCCAGAGCGATCAGTGATGGTACTAGTCAGCTGGTTCCACTCTCACGGTACATAGATAACCCTGCGACTCGTGTAAACGTGTTTCTCCTCTCAGCTCTTGCTTCTTTCTGACTGTTTTGATCCAAAAGAGTGGTGTTGTGGAGGGCTTCTCATAAACTTCTAAGAGCCTGGATGCCATTATGTCGACTAGGATGTGGGCCATAATTTGTCTCAATTAGATATGATGCCAACAACTGGGATATTCCAATGGTCTCAAATGTAACCATTGTGTGCATGGTTCAGAAGCAGTCAATGTTGTAAATTGGGATTGACTCAATGACCATGAGCTTTTTGAACATGAAAGAAAAAATAGTGTATGTTTTTTAAAGTAAACATGCTTCAGATCATGGGAAGATTAAAATACAAATTCAAAGGGAGATACAAATGAGGAAGTTGTTATATTATTATAACAACTTTGGTACTGACTCTTAAACTACGTAACCAAAAAATAGGATGATTGGTACTTTGATTTTGTTATTAGGTACTATTGAGGTGCCAACCCTACATACAGCAGAAAGAACTGGAAATCCAGGGAATCCAGGGCGGATGATCCTTTCAGGACCAGTGGTGTGAGGATGATACTGGGAGGGTAGAGGGAGAGTGGGTAGGAAAGAGGGAACCAATTACAAGGAACTGTATGTGACCTTCTCCCTGGGAGACGGACAACAGAAAAGTGGGTGAAGGGAGACGTCGGACAGGGCAAGATATGACAAAATAATAATTTATAAATAATCAAGGGCTCACGAGGGAGGGGGGGAAAGGGGAGGGAGGGGGAAAATGAGGACCTAATACCGGGGGCTTAAGTGGAGAGGAAATGTTTTGAGAATGATGAGGGCAACAAATGTACAAATGTGCTTTACACAATTGATGTATGTATGAATCGTGATGAGAGTTGTATAAGCCCCAAATAAAACGATTAAAAAAAAAAAAAAAAAAAAAAAAGAATTGCTGCTCAATCTTTTACTGTCCTCACAATTACTCTCTTTTACATGTGAGTCGACATTTGAAGCCACTATGTCGACCCAAGTTGTTGAGAGTCTTCCACTTTTTTTTCTGGCCCCTTATTTCATCAAGTTTTTCTGTGACTGGTCCCGAAAACATGGCCGAAGTACGTGAAATGAAGTCTTGTCATCCTTGTTCCCGAGCAAGATTCTGACTACACTTCTTCTAAAACACACTGTGTCTCTGTTTAAGTTCGTAGCCTATTTAATATTCTTAGCCAACATCATAAGACAAATGCATCAATTTTCCTCTGGTCTTTCATATGCAATGTCCAGTTTTCACATGTAAATGAGATGATTAAACATACCATGGCTTGGGTTAGACACGCCCCCAGTCCTTAAAGGGGCATATTTGTTCTTCAACATTCTAAAGCAGCTTTGTATAGCATATTTTCTCAATGCAATATCTAATTTGATGTCTTGACTGTTGCTGTCATGTGAATTGACTGTGCATGCAAGCAAAATTAAATTCTTGACAACTCCTCTGTTTATTTGCATAGCATAGTGGTGTTTATTGGTTCGTTGTGTGGATCTTTGTTTTCTCTACATTTATATTCTTTTATCTTCTTCAGTAAGTGTTTCAAGTACTCTTGCCATTCAACCAGGTTGTGTCAGTACTGTATCTCAGGTTGGTAAAGAGTCTTTCTCCAATTCCGATACTATGTTCATCTTCATAGCATCCAATCTCTTGCAAGACTTACTCAACATATACATCAAATAAATATGGTGAAAGGATACAACCCTGAGACACATTTTTCCTGATTTAAAAACTATTTATGATCCCTTGGATTTGCTTGATCAATTGTCTCTATAGCAATAAATTGATCTTACATGAGTATTAAATGAAATGTTTTGGAATTCCAATTCTCTGTAATTTTGCCTGCAATTTGTTACAATCCATCCACACATTCAAATGCTTTTGCTTAGACAATAAAGCACAAGTTACTATCTTGCTTGTATTCTCTGCTTTCAGCCAAGATCCATCTGATGTTAGAAATGAGTATCTTCTTGCAGGCTCCCTTCTAAATGTGACTTCAGCCTCTAGTATTCCCTGTGTGTGCACTACGGTAACTGTTTTGGAATTACCTTCAGCAAAAGGTTACTTGTATGTGCTATTAATGACTCTGCTACTCTTTGAAACTCCACTTTTCACCTTTATATAATCAACATTATAATTTCTTACCCTTTTATGAATGCATCAATTTATGATATTTTATATAGGATTTCTTGGCTTAAGCAAGTTGATAAACTGCAAGGATAATGCTTCTTATGACTTGAAAATAATTCACTAAACTAAGGGTTTTTTTTTTCATTGTGCACATGCTGTTTTTATGAGGTACCATAAATTTGATTCTGTTTCATAGTGACACACTGTACAACCGAACAAGACCTACCTTTTCCTGAGATATCTCCACGATCTTGCCATCACTTTCATTTATTTTTACAGTCACTGGGTTAATCCACCTCATTGAGAGTCTTTCTCTTTTGGGCTAACCTGACACTTCACCAGGCATGATATTCTTCTCTAGATCTCCAGATCCCTCACAATAGCATATCTAAACTTGGAGAGAAGTCTAGCCATCTTTGCTCCCAAGAAACAACCCAGCTGTACTTCATCCAATACAGATGTGTTCATTCTTCTGGAAACCCTTAATGTATTTAATATTCTTCATCAACACCATAATTAAAAGCCACCATTCCATCTTCAGTCATCTTATTAATATTTCAAGTTAATCATGCATTTGAGGCCATTAAAAATAGGTCAAGTGGGGTTCAGGCACACCTTCGTCCTCACAGTCGCATATTTGCTTTTTAACACCTTATGTAGGTTTTTATAGCAGCTCTCACCAATGAAATCAAACATCTGTTTTCTGACTTACTGCTTCCATGGTGTTTACTGTGGATCCAAGTACATTTCTCAAGCTCTTCCGGCTTTTGTCATTATTGCTGTTGTTGATTGTGACGTTGCCAGGATTTTAAATTTTGAATTATAATGCGTACTGAAGGGTATAGTTATTAACATTCATCCATATATGCTTCAAATTCTCTTCATATAAAGAAGCACATCTGTGGTATCAACACAACATAGAGTGTTAGTGAGCCTTCCTCTGATGCTGTCTTATTTATATAGCTAAACTTTTTGAATTATTTGCTCAATTTAAATATTTAAACACTTTGGAGAAAGCATATGTCTAGTTTGAATTCTCTAGAAAAGAATAGAGATCTATATCTATGTATATCACTATTTAGGGGGATAACCCCCACCCAATGGGAAAAAGTTCCTTTGGACAGAGCTTTTCTAATAGACATTTTTCCCACTAGGTGAGCAAGAATGGAATCTCAGATTTAACAAATGTATTAAGTGTAATGCAAAATATTTTGAAGGTGATAAGGTTGAAAAATATTTAAATACATAGCTTAGAAAAAAGTATTCCCTTTTGGTGGGGGAGGGTGGGTATCCGTGTGTGTGTGTGTGTGTGTGTGTGTGTGTGTGTGTGTAATATGTTCTTCTTTTATCCAAAGTCACTGGCAGTTTTTGACAGAGCCAGGACCAGAACTCAGGGTGTCGTGTGTGTGTGTGTGTGTGTGTGTGTGTGTGTGTGTGTGTGCCAGAGACAGAGAGATAGGAGAGTGTATATCCAACCAGGTTCCAAATCCATGGGACAAATATTAAGTTTGCACTTTTTCCTGACACAAGTAGCTTTGGGGTTATTAAACCCAAGATTGGAAGGAAGACCATAGCCCGATGGCTGCCAGAGTAAATGAATCCTATGTCAGGAGGTCAGGTCTAGACTAGAGAGTTAAATGGACTCAAAGTAGGAAGGTCAAGTGTCAGGATTCTGACAGCTCCCTGGATTGGGAGGCCAAGGCAAAGAAAGCAGGCGTCATTTAACTCGATGCAGAATCGAGACTCATCAAATGGCAAACAAGCTTTTCTTTAACAAACACATGCAGGAAGCATGCCAAACACTCCAGAAAAATCCCTTCCAACTGTCTCTGGACGGTGACCTGAACAAGGTGACTGAAATCCACCATAATCATTTTACAACTGATTAGCTGCTCAGAGCAAATCCCAATATGGAGTTGCTAACCTTGTATCAAGGGGGATTACTCAACCTTTACTGCCAAACACTTGAGCATCCTGGAATTTCCAAGTTACACAAAACCTAAGTACCACCGGATAAAACCCTGAAACATACCTTCCCTGACTTGAAACCAAACCAAACAAATAAATAAATAGAACTCCTTTCTCTCTCTCTCTCTCTCTCTCTCTCTCAGTTTTCAGTCTATAAATCTTAACAGGAGAAGGTAACTTCATCTTTTTTCCAAAGAGTGGCTAGTGGGTTAAAAATGTTATCTTATGATTTACAACCCGATGTACAATCCATGACACTATAATTATAGGGCTCCCTTGAAAGTGCACATGTGTCTCAAAACAAACAAATTAAACAAAAACTTAATTTCTATCAGGTAAATTCTGACTCCTAGTGACCCTATAGGACAGGGTAGAATCTCCCCCATGGGTTTCGCACACTGACCCTTTATGGGAATAGAAAGCCTTTTCTTTTCCCCTTGCAGCAGTTGTTGCTTTCAACAATTTACTTTGCAATTTACAGTCAAATGTGCAACCAGGGATCCTTTGAAACCATAAAGCATCTTCTTTTTATTATATTTGAATTATTTCCTTGGTCTATTTTAAGTTTCTACATATGTACAATTAAGATTTCAGAATTTTCATCCTGTGCAGTATTATGTTAGGCTTCAATCTTTAGAAAAGCAACACCAATGATGCTTATATACTTATGTTTATAGAAAGATTTATATCAATAAATGACTCATAGACAAAGAAGTGGGTAACTTAAGTCTGGTTCAATTCCCTGGGTCAAATGTAAGCAGAGGACTTCTGAGACCTGAAGCTCCAGAGAGAACAAGAAATGGGAAGACGAAGCAGGAAGACTACAGGCTGTTGAATGCAGAACTCAATGAACATCAGATCAGCTGAATGGGACCAAGGCTGGCAGTCAACTTTTGGCTCCTGGGATTGGTGAGCCATATAAAAGAAGATTAATGAATCTGATGCAGGATTCAAATCTAATAGTAAAAGTGAGCTAGCTTCTGCCTGCTGTCATTTGATATTAAGAATGTTGTTGTTGTTTTTGGTGGTGGTGGTGGTGGTGGTGGTAGGTGCCCTGGAGTCAGTTCTGACTCATAGGGACCATATATACAACACAACCAAATACCACTCAATTTTGTTCATATCTTTTCTGCTATTAGAGCCCATGATTGCAGCCATTGTTATCAATCCATCTTGTCAAGGGCCTTTCGCTAATTCACTGCCCCTCTACTTTAGCAAGCATAACTTCTTTCATCAGGGACTGATCACTCTAGACAATATGACTAATGGTCACGAGGCAATCTGTCTTCCCATGCTGACCTCTCATAAGCACTGTGGCTGTACTTCATGCCAAACAGATTGGTTTGTTATTTTGAGAGTTTGTGATACTTTCAATATTGTTCTCCAATATATCAATTCTTCCTTAAACACTGTCCAACTTTCACATACATATGAGATAATTGAAAATTCCAAAGTTGAAGTCAGGTGAAACTTAATCAAGTAAAATCCTTGTTTTTCAATGCTTTACAGAGATCTTGTGCAGCAGATTGAAATTCCTGCCAACCATTTCATTGACATCATTTGTTCATTTGATTTTGTGACTGATTTTTTACATGAGTATTGATTATGAAGTTAAGCAAGATGAGTTATAAGGATTGTAGCTTTCTTTATAATTGGCTGTAATCCATATTAGAGGATTCAATCCCTGATCGTCAGCAAGTGTTTCAAGTTATGATTAATTTCAGAAAGCAAGGTTGTGTCATCTGCATGTGGGAGTTTGTTAATAAGCCTTCGTTCAATTCTAATACCACATTCTACTTCATAAAATCCAGGTTCCCTGATTATTTGCTCAGCATTCAGATTAAACAAGAATAGTCAGAGGATACAATACTGACATTCATTTTCCTTGATTTTAAAGAATGCAGTATGCCCTTTTTTATGTTCCCACAATTACCTCTTGATCCATCAAAATAAAATATTCTGGAATTCTCTATTTGAAAAAGACTAGTTATAATTTGCTGTTATCTACACAGTCAAGTGCCTTTTATTAGTCAATCAAACCAAGTGAACATATTTCTGGTTTCAGCCAAGATTGCTTTGGTGTCGCAGTTATGCCGCTTGTGCTATATTTTGTTGTGAATCAAGTATCTATCTTTCATATTTCTCAGCATAGACTAGTGAATGATTTTAGTGTTTCTTTTTTATTTTAATCATTTTATTAGCAGCTCATACAACTCTTATCACAATCCATACATACATCAATTGTGTAAAGCACATTTGTACATTCATTGCCCTCATCCTTCTCAAAACATTTGCCCTCCACTTAAGCCCCTGGCACCAGGTCCTCATTTTCCCCCCTCCCTCCCCACCCCCCTCTCACTCATGAGCCCTTGATAATTTATAAAGTATTATTTTGTCATATCTTGCCTGTCCGACGTCTCCCTTCACCCACTTTTCTGTTGTCTGTCCCCCAAGGAGGAGGTCACATGAAGATCCTTGTAATCTGTTCCCCCTTTCCAACCCACCCTCCCTCTACACTCCTAGTATCCTCACTCACACCACTGGTCCTGAAGGGATCATCTGCCCTGGATTCCCTGTGTTTCCAGTTCTTATCTGTACCAATGTACATCCTCTGCTCTAGCCAGACTTGCAAGGTCAAATTCGGATCATGATAGTGGAGGGGAGGGAGGGAGATGGAGGAGAGGAAGCATTTAGGAACTAGAAGAAAGTTGTATTTTTCATCATTGCTACATCACACCCTGACTGGCTCATCTCCTCCATGAGACCTGTCTGCAAGGGGATCTCCAGTGGCCTACAAATGGCTTTGGGTCTCCACTCCACACTGCCCCCCTCATTCACTATGGTAACAGTTTTTGTTCTGATGATGCCTTATACCTGATCCCTTCGATACCTCGTGATCACACAGGCTGGTGTGCTTCTTCCATGTGGGCTTTGTTGCTTCTGAGCTAGATGGCTGCTTGTTTACCTTCAAGTTTTTAGATCCCAGACATTATACCTTTTGATAGCCAGGCACGATCAGCTTTCTTCGCCACATTTGCTAATGCACCCATTGTCTTCTGCGATCCTATCATAGCATACAATGATATGATTTTTTGTTCTTTGATGCCTGATAACTGATCCCTTTGTCACCTCGTGATCGCATAAGCTGGTGTGTTTTTCCATGTGGGCTTTGTTGCTTCTGAGGTAGATGGCTACTTGTTTACCTTCAAGTTTTTAAGACCCCAGACGCTATATCTACAGATAGCCATGCATCATCAGCTTTCATCACCACATTTGCTTATTCACCTGCTTTGTCTTCAGTGGTTGTGTCGGGAAGGTGAGCATCATAGAATG